TGAGAATAGAATAATAGCGGACTAGTGTTAAAACACATATAACCACTTTGTGAATCGAAAATGCCTTGTAGTTGGTTGTTAGTTGGAGACACCAATTTATGTAAAACCCCAGCAAAGGGACAATATTGCACCCCATGCATTCAAAATTCGAAAGGGTGTAATAATTCCCCAACTATGTAAAGGATGTGGTTAAGAGACTAAATCGAGCCTTCAGCTTTGTGTCCCGTGTGGCCAAGGTAGGGAAAAAAGCATATAAATATTATAAACAAAAGTGTGCAAGAGAAACACTGTGTGCTTAATTTCTGTATATGCAAAGCAATTTACTAGATAAGTATTATCATTTATTTTTCCTACATAATCCAGGCCTTTGAAAAATAACCAATTAAACTTATTATTTTCATACGTAACAATCAACTATTATCATTTTCATAACTAGTAACTCCCAATAGAAACACTCCAGAAAGTAGTCAACTTATTAACCAAGAGAGAGATTGGCCTGAATGGGCCAACATTTCGCAGGCTAACATGCAATGGCTTTAGGTACATAAAAGATTTAGCTGAATTTCTACAATTATGGATTATTATTATCCTGAGCAAATTAGATTCATGAATGATCTGTCCTATCCAGCTATGATACCACCGATTGATATAATGGAAAATAGACCCGATATTTATAGAAAATGGTTTATAAGTATAGAAACATACCAGAATTTATTCCAAGCATTGTAAAAAATATAATAATAAATCGATTAATATAGCCTGGATTGCAACTCCAAAGCTATAAATTTTTTTCGTTATATTCTATGTAATAGTAAATTTCAAATCGACAGATCTGATCCAAGGTATTGACGTATATCATGTACCTGACATAGATCGATTATTTTCTTGAGAACCTCTTTGAGCAATGCTATATCCTCTTTGATACTTTCTATATTTTTGGTAATTTTATCTCATAAAGATATGGATTCTAAACCCTTTAATCGATCTCGTGTCTTACTAGTATCCATTTTCTGATAGAATTACAATAACATCAACCATTCAATTTTTGGGTATAGCTATACTAATCCGCGGATAATTAATTTCGATTTGAAAAAAGAATCTTTATAGTATATATCAGACGAAATTAGTCTATATAAAACATCTCAATCATATCAACTGACATATACTAACCATGGCAAAAATCGCTACATCATTTGTAAATCACTACAAATTGACTCCTCAAACTAGTTTACCCAGCTTAGTAGTTATACCGAAGATTTGGCTAATAAACTTTCAGATGGTAAGACAAAAGAGCAGGCCCGAAAAGCCAGAGATCAGGCTAAAAGATGCTTCCAAGAGTTGGGATTGAGTAAGGAGCAAGCTGATACTCTTATTCCTATTCGAGCTCCTGGGAGACATGTTGATGAAAGAGATCCCATTAAAATTATCGCCCAAGATATTATAAAAAATAATCTCTCACCTGAAGAAATAAATGAAATAGCATACGACTTGGCTTCTTCTGCTCCTACTACTGTTGCTGGAAATTCTCGTCTTAATTTATTACAGAAAAAAATTGCGTAGCTTAGGAGCTGATTATCTCATTACTGAGGCAACGAAAGTACTCTTTATTAATGAAGAAGTAAACCAAATTCAAGCAAGAAAATGTATACTTCGCGAAATTAATGGTTACCATTGTCCTGAGTTCTTTTACCTGGAAAAGGTTCAGAAAAGATTTAACAAATGTAATATTACCAAGCCTTCTTCAATGCAAAATCTAATAGACGTAATGATAATGCTATGTATATGATCGGCAGATGTGAAAAATCTTCGTATCAATCGATACAAACCAAGTTGTGAGTCATGGTATGATCCTGACTATTCTTGGTACTGTATTGGTTATGCAAAAAATAAAGGTGAAGTAGAAGAACCCCGACCATTTCTCTCAATGGAAAAAATCCAATACAAGCAAGAGAATTACTTATTTGGATTCAGAGATCAATACCGGACAAATTTTCCTTCTTGCTAAAGGATAAAGATGGAAATACTAATGTTGTACCACTTAATCAATTCTTAAGTCAGCATAAAATTACCTCATTTATATTAAGAAAAATAGGAGCTAATCATGCTTCCAGAGTACATGGAGGTAAGAATGATACTGGCCGTCAACATTTACGACAATTGGCATATAGGCATAAAATAGGTCATGCTTCATCAGTTGAACATTATGGTGTGATTAATGATAGACCAATTATTCCAACACCTAAACAAGAAAATAGTGAAGTCGAGGATATTATCAATTTATACGGAGAAATTTCTGATGATGATAACTAACCACGCTTCTTTACTTTTACCACATCTACAGTAAAATCTTCATCATCATTAGACGATTCAGACCCAGACCCAGATGAGGAATTGCACTTGCAATAATCCCACTTTGTTTCTTCTCTAGATTTACAGAGTCAATGCTATCGTGACTATTAATTGATTGAGTCAGCATTTGTGGAGTTACGGATAAGACCGGAGAAATTGAAGATGGTGAAGCAATATTAGTAGTTCGATTTCATTTTATTATTTGTTTTAATTTTATATTTTCGATCCGAAGATTAGCAATTTCTTCTATGATTTGCTTTAACTTGGTATTTTCAATCTCGAGGTTGGCAACAGCTGTTTCAATAAATCAAGCTCTGATAACATGTTTATTAATAACTTTTATATAAGGTACAGAATTATTTAATTTTTGTAATTAAAAATCATGTGTCTGTGAAAAATTCTTCACGGAGATCACTTTTGCCAAGAAAAAAAAATTCACATTCATATAGACATCGATATCAATATATTGGAATAAATCCCAAAATATACATACAAAAGTAAACACAACTATGTATACGAAATCAACCGTGATGTAGCCCGGTGTGACTATATGGGGTGTACAACTCGATACTCGATCATGTGTCCGAAAAATAATGAGATAATTAGTATTTGGGTTTCGTATTATCTGGAGAAAATATGCATCAGAGTAAAACACATTAAGAAAAATCAACATATAAACTTTTTTATCCCAATACAAGATATACTACATGAAAATATTGACATAATATATAATATTCTTAACTCGAATTCTTTATTAGCAAAGCCAGTATGGTTGATACAATAAAAATACATGATAATTTATACAATATCTATATACTTACCTATTATTGGGTGAAAATTTAATAGTAGGGGGACACTGTCTTTTTTAATACCCGGATCGGCGACCTCTTGTTATGGCGATCGTGGTGTTACTAACTCTCCATCGTAAAGAGGCATATCTTTCTGAGCTTGTGGTGAACAAAAAGCTATGTTATATAAAGAAACATCAACTTTTTTGACAATTTCATTAAGGGTACGAATATGGTTTCGTAGAGACGCCTACAAATAATTCTATTAATTAACCAGAAGTTTGTTTATCCAACTTCCCGCATTCTGTAAAAAGATGATAGCCTTACCCTTAACTTCCATAATTCATCTATAAATCCGGCAAGTGAAGATTGGCCTCGATTCATAGGAATTTGCACTGAACCAAGACGTTGAACAAAGTAAAAGGCTCCAAATGGCATAGTCATAATCCAACATGCCATGGTTCCTCCTAAAGTAGAAATGGGTGAAAAAAAATAATTGTGATATTGCATACCAGCAACTTGGATACCAAAAACTGGCTCCCTGTTAAGATCTTCTTCTATTTCCTTTACGTTGAAGATGTTATAACTACCGGAGAATACGCTAAAAATAACTATACAACTATTCTATAACACTACACAAACCAACTAATCACTAAAATAAGACCGAAGCTCTAAAGTGGTAGGCTTCGAAATGAGGCGCGGAAAGACTTGGTCCGAGTTCTAGAGCTTTTAGAGCCTTATGGTGATGTTGCCGGGTTCCAGATAAGTCTGCTAGTG